TCAGGTGGCAAAGTTCTTCACCATAGCTAGTGTCAGTTGCCCTGTGGCTTAGATCTGAATCTGTGGGCTTTTGGATTCAGAGTGCTGCAGCTATCTAACAAGGGTGGTGGTTTGGGACGTGCCTCTGAATTTTTTGGCACCTATGTGGTTCAAGCGCCAACAGGTGAGTGTGCTGACAAGCCACGTGAACACCTGTCGTGCAACATAGATCTCATCAGCTGGGAAGAAAATCGAATGCCACGCCACGCAAGTGTAGCCAAATGATATCGATTGTTTCTATTTTTCTGTTGAATGGATACATCTGGGATCTAGACAGCCCTGGTTATGATGTAGGATCAACCTTCACTCTGGCTTCGATCCAGCCACCTGGACCCTGGCTTTGATCCAGCCAACTGGACCCCAATTCTGATCCAGCCAACTGGCTCGATGCTTCCCCATGCAGGTGCCTGCTCGTCGTCTTCGTCTTGAAGACACCATGGAGTGGAGTCAGCAACTACCTCACCACTGTACAGCTTTCTCATGAAAGATGCCGGTCTGGGTGACACTTGCCAGGTTGAAAGGGCAGTGCTTGGCAGACTCTCTTGTCTACATTGTTTCTTATAATAATATGCAAAAGCATATATATATATATAATATAGACATCTAGATCCGTACCTGCTTTTTGATAAGCCAGGGTCCCAATTGGTTTCTGAGGATGCCAGCTTCAAGAAAACCCAAATGTGCCTCCGAATGGTTGCAAAGGAGTTCAAGTTCCATGGGCATCAGCTGAAGGGCCCATGTAATGAGTTGCGGAAAGCGGGCAAATCTGGCAAGTATGGACGGAATGTGGCGAGGGATATTGCTCGTGTTGATCAAAAGCTTCGTCTCGACCAAGATTCTCTGTTGAATTTTTCATGTATAATTTGGCAGTGGGCTTGTTTTTTTTCCCTAATCATATCACCGCTCCCCCATCCCATGAGCCAACGTCGACATTGACCTGATAAATCTGAGGTCCCAACTCACTTGGTGGATGTGCCCATCCAAAAGGACAGGGGAGCCAATGGCATTGAGTCAAGGCTTGGTTGCTCAAATGCTACTAGTGTTTACCCTCGTGTGTTTGTTCGCTCGATATGTGTGCGCTCACTGTATCCTCGATTCCCCAAAAAGTTAGACAATTTTGGGAATTAAGTGTCCACATGCATGTAAGCAGTATAGTACTTAGTTTCTAGTGAACGCACCACGATCTTATTAGAAGTGTGCATGGACAGGAAATACCCAGTGGTAGTGCCACATGAACTACTTCCTTGGCTGTTACGCAACAACTTATTTCCACAAGTTTGCCCTTCTGACCTTGAGAAGTTTTGGAACCACATGAAGATGAGGGATGCTGCTGTGTCAAGGCTTGTGCATGGCATTGAGTCCACCTGTCACCCTTTGTTCATGTGGGGCGACGACGCTGAATTTAATGAGTCTCATGAGAAGCTCATTGTATGTGTATTGGGCCATGCCCTGAGTGAAGAAACGTTCTCAGTCCGATGTGTGTTTCCTTTGTGGACCATTCGCAACGTTTCTTGGCTGAGCGTAAAAACTTGCCCTATATATAGACTTTAAAGAAAGCTTGGTGTCAAAAAGTGCAATGCATAGTACTCGTACTTCCCAAAGCATAAATGATCCTGAAGTCATGTTTAGCGCCCTACTGCTGGCTGAGGATTTGTCCATTGGTTTTCCAACGCTCTATGCCTTGCTTGAACCTGCTGCTTGGCTTCTGGAGTGGGAACAGCCTGGGATATATCCCTACCCAGGAAAGCGTTTATCATGTCATGTGATTCAAACCATCTTCCGGATCGGAGGTTGTGGAGTCCATGAATCAGCTCCTTCAAGGTGTCTCTGGTCCAAATGGCGTTGTGCATGGTGTGATTGTGCAACTCAGGGCCGACTGGAAATTCCAGACTGAGCCAGGGTGCTTGTTTTCGCATGTTTTTTTGTCGGGTGTTTGTTTTTTTCCTCATGTGTTATTTCCAGAAACATGTTCTGGTAATTGTGTGTGTTTGTTGGTGAAGAAGCATAGAACCCATCCAAATAAGGGGACAGCAACTGTGCACAATAAGTGATTGTTTTGGGGCCCTTCAGACACTTGCTCTAAAGTTAGCTCTCAAGCAGCTTAGCTTAGGAATGGCTCAACCTATGTGCGCATTACAAGGCAACAGCTCTGTGCCACCACTGCAGAGCCAGAAAGGATGACTACATGAAGGCACCCTCTCAGGTTTCTACCTCCTTCAGGCACAACCTGGAGACCTTCAAGCTGGAAGCTCTGAGGGCCGGACCAACTAGTGCCTTGACTTGAAATCATCCTTTAAATGTTTACTTATTTGTGGGAGCAATTTTGGCCAGAACGCAGCTGGTACATTCATTGCATGTTGTGTGCATAATTGAGGTCCACTATGCAGTCTTCCAGGCTTCGATCCAACCACCATCAAGTGGTGCTCGATGCACATCCTGAATTTAGGTGTGTGCCTGTGGTCATGTGGATCGACCATGCGTGTTATTTTGGACCACTATCCAACTGTTTGGTCTGGTGATGTCATCAATAATCAAAATGACCGGTTAGCAATTGCGTATGAACTGTTTCGAGCATATACACGTGCGAACAAAATCCCGCATCTTATCTGAGCTTGATCAATGGTTGACTGCATTTGCCACATCCTTTTTTTGCTGCCTTTTAGGTCTTCCGAGATAATTTCAAAAATGTGGTGTGTTACTTTGCAAAATCTATCCATATGGGATACTCAAACATTTCGATTGTTCCTGCCAAGGCATTCTCAACCGCGCTTTACTACGAAGAGGTTGACTTCCTGGCAGCATGCGTACCCTGAACTTAACGCGAAAGCATTCAATGAGCTTTGGTGGCACCCGCTGACCAACCAGTACTGTTTGTGTTCTTTCTTTTGAGTGCGCTTGGCTTTGGGGTGCTGCAACCTAGTTGTTTCTGTGGATGAAGCTAAGGCCAGGGTTGTGACTGCCTGGCTTGCTGAAGAGCTGGTCTCGATTGTTACATCAATGCCTGAAGATGAGCGGCTTTGTTTGATGACCAAGCACATGCCCTTTTGCTGCAGTTCTGACCAGCAAGTGTTATGCGTGGGATTTATACATATGAAATGGCACTGGTACACCCCCTAGGGACTGAAAACCGGACCCATTTTTGCATTGTGGTCGTTAAGGTCAAAGCTTACCATCGGGATTTCAATGAAGTGGGATCAAGTGGATATAGACATATACTTAAAGATGAAGCTACATGCGTGGACATTGGCTGTGTACGGTAGTATGCTGAGTAGGACCTATTGCTCATCACAAAATCCGTTTACATGATGTGTTTTGAGCGGAGGTGGAATCTTGCTCAGTGGTTCAACCTTCATGAGAAAGCTGGGAGGCTGCTTACTGATGATGACATTTCCCAATTCACGCGGGCTTGTGACACTCGGGCTGACAGTTCAAACCCGTATTTTAGTATTGAATTGTTTCCTTAACTTTGAGGGGCTTTGCAACTTCAATGAGCTTAATGAGCTTATCATATCTATTCCTAAGGATGAGTCTATGGTTGCGTATGTTGCTTTGGCCAATGGTGCTATTGCTAGCAAAGAGTTGTTATGGCCCAGCCGCCCCAAGCACCATGTTTCTTGGAGCAGCTTCATCACCTTTTTGTTGAGTGCGTACTTTTGGGGGGCCAATGACATCCCTTGTTTGTGACCATTTGCTTCCACGGTTCAGGGTTGGCAAGAGATCTTGCACGCAGAGGCAACCGAGAGACACCCAGCCAAAAAAGTTGGTGCCATTGTTTAGCAACAGTTTGCTGGTTTGGTCAGCTCCAACAATATTTTTGGAAGGAAAGGACCCCAGGTTTTTTTGGGGAGGTTGCCTGCTCAAACCATTGAGGAGTGAACTCCCGACATTACCATGCGTTCCAGTGTGAGGATTTTGTCGGCCGTCTTACTGACATAGCATCTTGCTGCCACAAGAGCAAGCTTGAACACGCAGTCTTGAAGAGACTTTACATGGGGCTGTACCAGCACCAGCAAAATTCAGTCAATGAAGATGACTTTTCTTCAGATTGACTTACGCCGGTGGCCAAGGGGAAAGGATGTGGTGTCCAGTGGTGGGAGAAGGGGTTGGTGGTGTTCTACCATAAATTACAAATACCTGCTCAGGGGGTGTTTGGGAGTGACTAGTTGCTCAGGAGGTCTTCAAATCTTGAACACCTTGTCAGCAGATCTCTAGGATGCCTAGGGATGGAGTTGAAGCGGGTCAGACGGTCCAAGGTGTTTTAGTTTTAGGTATGATCAAAATGAGCCACGATCAAAGCAGGCGAAGATCACCCTACTAGACTCTAGTGGAGAGGGGTAGGTTTGCGCACCGAGAACCTCAGCACTGTAGAACACTGTATAATATATATATTATCATAATAGGGAACGCACAACTCTGTAGAACGATAAGGTTCACCTCAAAACCAACCGCCCCTCACATACATGTTGTGGGTCGACTTTAGTAACTAAGAAAGGGGAAGGTCCGTTGTTTTTCATTTTGTTGGTGGGGGGACCATTTGCGCGCATGACAAAAGATTCCCTTGCAAAAAACACACATGTTCACACGTCTATATAAATGTGAAAACTACAGTTCAGGGAAGCGAGTCGAGCTCAGAGAACAGGACAGAGGACGCCAAGAGGGTAGGGTTTGTGAAGGTCAGAAGGTTCATCTCGTGAGATCTTCTAAGAACATCTCAGAACCCTTTGGTATTTGAAGGACGACGAGGCAAGGAAGATGACACATTCGTTTGAGATCATCGAGTTCATGGCCTCAGGAACTTCAATCTCCTTTGTTTGAAGTGCTCCAGTTGTTGCAAGGAGTTCCCACTAGGGCAAGTCACTAGGGCGTTATCCTAAATTCAAGTGGCATGAAGAAACTCGTCTAGATCCAGCCAGTCAGAGGCTGGGGCCAAGACCATTTGAGACCACAGTCCAGCGTGAAAGGAGCTCTACAAGACGGTCTGGGAGATCAAGCAGAAGGTGGTCCTAGACATGGCGGCTGATCGTGGAAAGTACATTGATCAGTCCCAGTCCTTGTGACTTGGCTGATCGATATTTGTCAGAAAAGTTGACCATTTCGATCTCATCATTCAGAAGATGTCAGATGGCATGACGGAAATCTTTGATCCTGGACCCCAGTCCCGGTGTTTTCAGAACTGGGAACGCACTTTTGGCTATACTTCTGTTGTCTCTTTTTTGGGGGGGAGGGATTCTGTATATGTTTTTGTGAGCATGTTTGTAGTGGTCCATAATTCTGGCATGTATGGCCGTAAGTCTGTAGGTCCAATGGCATGGGTTCATCTATATGTCTTGAAAAGATGATTTCCTACATGGCCCGCTTGCTCTGCTGCAAGAAAGGTAGATTCATCCTCAAGTAGCTAGAAGTCTACAAGGCAGGATGACCCCAAAGTTAAGGCGAAGCTAATGTCATAAAATGGGCATAACCCATGTTCTTTCTAATTGAGAAACTCTTCCTTGTCCATATCCTCCACCAGCAAACTGTGAAAAAACAACATGGATTCACGGATGTAGCATCCACCAGCACTTCAGGGGATCCTATTCTCAGAACAATCTAAGCCCAGAAGTTGATCTTTTTGAGCCGCTCTCTTTAACTCCCCTTAGAACACAGAGCAAGCAGAACCTCTGAAATACTCCAAAACCACACATGTCCACAGAAGGTTACTATAATTTTTGCCTTTTGATGTCATGTTGATACGGTCACCAATTCTTTTTCTTCTTCCTTTGGCTTGTTGCGCTTAGACAGGAACATCCACATGACAGACGTCACCAGCGCCAAGCTCATGTCGATGCACTTCCATGGCTGGTCTCGAGGGCTCAAGACAGGGATGCGCCCGGGCTTCGACTCTCGCAGTGGGCGAAGGGGAACGGTGAGAATCAGACGGGTCAAAAGGACGCACGGTGCACCAACCATCCTGGCGCCCGTCCCACCAGGCGGGGCGCTTTTTTTTGTGGGTTTGCCTTTTGAGCTATTCCCGTGACACGGGTCCAATGGATGGACTAAAGAGAACATCTATAGGGACACCATTGTTTTCACCTGAAAAAACCATTGAAACACCATAGATGTTTCCCTTCAACCAAGTCCAATAAGAGTCTAATAAACTGGGCCATGGGCGGTGGGGCAAGGGTTGAGGAATCTTGGGGGAATGGTTGGGGCGCCAACATCTAACATCTGTGAATTGGACGTCCAAGGAGTTTCCAGGAATCGTCGGCCTCCGAGCTGGGACCTTCTCCACATGCACATGGAGTCAACAGTTTTCACTCCGCCTTCCGCACTCACCGTCTTTTGCTGAACATCAGTACTAAATGAAATCACTCCAGAGAGAGGAACACCTACTTATTTTGGTCCAAAAAGGCTGCTGCAAGCCATCGACGTTTGGCAAGACGATGGCGAAGAGAGAAGCTGCGGACAGGAAGCATGGATGAATGCCCACTTCAATCCTTAGCCGAGCTGAAGCTTTTCGAAAGGCATGATCATGCATCCAAGCAAGATTGCACCTCAGAATCATGGAACCAGTTGAACTCTCAAAGCCGGCTGTATGGTTTTTTTGGGGGAGTTGTCCCGGGACAACTCCATCCTCGGCTTCCGTCGGTTCCATCGGCTGTTGGGTCCACGCCGAGGTACTACCTTCGCACCAAGGCCGCTGCCGATGCGATCAAGTTCACCGTCGAGGCGGTGAGAGACTTTGGCTCTTCCCGGTTGGTGAGAGACTTGACCTCGCATGCCTCGCTTTGAGAAGGATTGTTGGGTCAAGGTCCAAAGATCATTGCTACTAGGGTGGAGGCCATCGCTACTAGGTTGGAGGCCATCACTAGTAGGTTGGAGGCCACTAGTAGGTTGGAGGCCATCGCTACTAGGTTTGAGAAGGATTGTTGCGTCAAGGTCCAAAGATCCCATTGGTTCTCAATCTATTTCAGTTGGACCTACCTCGTGCACCTTCGTTCTGCTTGGCCTCGGGAGGTTCAAAAGTCGAGCGACGAGTCTGCCATCAAAGCGTTGAAGTCAGAAGCTCCCACCTATTCCTGCGTGGGCTGCAGTTCCTGAACATGCCGAAAAAGCAGCTGTTAAGGAAATTGCAGAGCAGCTTCACAGGGGTCGAGCCTGCTGAAGTAGGGAGGTTCGGTTTGGCTGTCGTTTTCCTGGATCTGCTGAAATGGTGAAATGACGATTGATTCCATGTGTTTCGTGGTTGATGGTGCAAGTTTGGTGGTCGGAACCCACTTCGGGGAATCCTGGACAGAAGCCTTTTGGTCCAATGACCAAGGACAGAGGATGCATCCATCAAGGGATATCAGGGCGAAGTTCCGTGGGGGATTAGAGCACATGAATGACCAACATCTACTACGGACTGCGTGTGCCAGGACGTTTGGAATATAGCTATGTTCATGATGCAAGCCAGCAACGTGCAGGAATTTAGGGGGATGGCTCATGTCATTTGACTGTCTTGGACGTGGAGCCATTAGCAAAATCTATGAAGGACAAGACAAACAAGACATCAAAACAATCTGAACTTACTTTCAGTAACGCCCCAGAGGATTTACCAGCAACTCCACCTCCAGAGGCCCCACAAATAAAATCATGACTAGATGTGTTGGTTGTTTTGTTCACTACCACCGAGACGCATACAACATGGTTCAAGATGCCCAGCGTTCAGCAGATCTGTCCGATGCAGCATTTGTGGGGTTCACGACCGGGGGTGACCAGGCAGGGGTGACAGGTGGATTTCAGGAAACAGAGCGAACGCGCGGTGAAACACAAGGCTCAGCCTTCTCAGTCATGGAGTGGTTGTTTCTTCACCTAAGGATCAGTGGGCCAAAAAGAACTGGTGCCCTTGTACAGCTCAAACAAGTTCAAACATCAAGGGCCCAAGCCTGTAAGAGATCATAAGAGATCGTTTGATGGGCTGGTGTTGCTTGCGCCTAGTGCATGTTCATCGGCTGTCATTTTTGGAGAAATGACCCTACTATATACATATATATATATATATATGGCTGGCATGTGGGTGCTTTTGTTGTTTTTGCGCTGGATATAATATGTCAGAATATTTTTCACATTGCTCCAATGAGGCGTCTATGAACTAGTGACATACCTACTCAGTCAGTGGAGCATGTTCAGCCGTTTTTTGGGGGGTCGGTTTCCTCACTAAACATGAACAGTGGAAAAGGTTACTGTAACCATATTTTCTAGGGAAACTGATCTGGTCAGCATATACTGTTCCTGCGATCCACCGGATTGGGGTTTGGGTTCGGATGTGGCTCGTTCTTCGCAGCTGAGCTTTAGCTCGGATGAGTCAACGAGGTAAGTGGCAACAGGATGCAACAGGGCTATTAAGGTTATGGTCTCTGACAGAACATCTCCTTTTTTCTCAGATGACAAGGGCTCATATGGTTTCCACAAGGAAAAAAGAAAGTAAAACATGTGGCAAACGTTGTGGCAAATAGCTAGGTGCAGTTGTGTGTGTGTGTGTGCTATCGTTCTACCACACGGGAAGACTCCAGCCCACAACCCAAATGACCCCCAAATCTTCGACATTGAGCTATATAGTTCGAGCCACGTCCATTTCTGGGTAAGAAGCAGAGAAGTCTAGGAGTTGCTTCCAAGATGCGCAAATGAGGAGAAAAGAGACACAAAAAGAGCGTTTGTTCGCTTTCACGGCGCACACGGATCATCAGATCCCTTCAGATTCCTGATATCAGGTGTTCCATTTGCATCAAGACGTGCCATTTTCACTTGGAGAGGTCTCAGCTTGTCTCAACTGGTCGGAGACCAGCTGGTGTTTGTCATGGAAGATTGCCGACGTGCCGGAATGGCCTTGGAATGGCCCGTGGGGGAATGGACGAAGCTGCATGCCTTGTGGTGATGGACGCACTCGTCAGCCACCGACGAAAAAGCCCACCCTGCAGCAGGGTGTTCGGGCAAGACCGCGAAAGCCAACACAACGCTGCAGGGTCATTGTGCCAAGCCAAGGAGAAGGCTTTGAGTATCACTAACGGTAACGAAAATCCAAAGGAAGCTTGCTCTCCGGCTCATGTCAAATCATTCTCCTGATTATGTGGAAGATGTAGATCTGGGGAGGGCATAAATACTGACCCTATCTGAATGTAGTATCGTGTCCCATGCTAGAGCAACATACGCGCAACACTTCGATGATCTGTGACGTACTGCGACCACCGTACGTATTTGGCAGAGCCGGCCCATCTCACTTGTCGAAGCCTTTCAGGCTTGAAGCCAAGTATCCATGATGCATGTTTTGTGTGTGGTATGGTTTTGCAGATTTGGAGGACCATTGAAGATACGTTTTTCAGAGTCATGACAGATCGACAGTCCATGCTTCAAATCCAAAGACCGTTCAGAGTTCCATTGGATTCTCCAAGCAATTTCCCAATGAGCATGACCCTGCGCCCCATGCGTTGTGGCACTTTCCAACCATGGCGCCCCGCACTTCTTCACGCGCACCGCGCCTCGTGGCACCTGTGCCCGGCGCCGCGCCAGCGGCCGCGCCCGCCGCCGCCGCGCTGGCTGGCGGCGGGTGCCGCCTCGCTGGCGGCGGCGGCGACGGCGCGGGGCGTGCAGAACGAGATCCGTAAGCCGGAGACACATCGGCGGCAGTATGAGTACATGTGCTTGGAAAATGGCATGCAGGCCAAGGATGTTTTATGTTGTGTGAGGTTGAGAAAGCCTACAATTCTGATGTGGTGGCCATTGGCAGGAATGTGATCCATATTGATCCATTATATAATTGCATGTTTAAACATTGATGTTAATATTATTACTGTAGTATAGTTGATATTATTATATATATATATAGAGAGAGAGTCAACATATTATATATTATGTGTTTTTTGTCCAAACCGTTTGATTTGGTGTGTGTTAAAGACAGGTTAAACGGTTATGCTTTTGACTATTCTGCCGCACACCAAGCTCATAGGCCTTTGTCCGCAGGTCTTGTTGGCCTCAGATAGCAATTGTGACCGAGCGGCTTGTGCTTTGTGCGTCGGTGTTGGACGGCTACACGAACCGAAGGAGAGCGGGGTTTTAGCTGAGTGGATGGCATTCACACCGGTTGATGTATGATGTGAACATCGAAAACCGTGATCGCAGTGGTTTTGCCCTTTTTAGTGTTTGATTACTAAATATGTTGCTTTTGTTTTTGAACCTTGAAATGCAACGGAGGATGTTTCAATCCCTCAACATTTGTTTCACGATTTTACTAGTGCTTTTTGTTTGCACCGTATGTATCCATGGGCGTAGAAAACATCTAGGTGATGGTCAAAAGGAAAGGGAACCCTTTCCCAGGTTTGTTGCTTGTGTTGGCCAGATGCTGCAGGACATGCCTGGCTTGGCGCATTTCTGCGAGCACATGCTTTTCTTGGGCACAGAGGCCGGCCAAAAAAGCACCAGCAAAGATCCCTTTCATGATGCAACTAATTGGTGATAGGAGCAAAGCAATTGTCATGGTGCACCCCCATTGCTCTTGTTTTTAAGAGTGGAGGAGAGGGGCATCTCGAGTGTCAAATGCATGGTTTGCTATGCTTTGGGAAGAGGAGTGTCCTGTAATGCCTAGCAGCGGGTAGCAGCGGGTAGCAGGTACACCATGCGTCCCATGACCAGATCTGCTCAGTCCTTTGAGTCGGGTACGGTTCAGAAGAGACACGGTTCGGAAGAGGGGGTTCAAACTGAGGTGTTGGTACTGATGGAAGGATTCATTCGACCCAATCGAAGGCAGGACATGGGTCCGCCATAGGTGACTGTCCGAAAAAGTGCGCAACCATGCTCACGTGGTCGCCTTGACAAACAAGGACCTCTCCAGAGGGAGTCACAAATTTGGGGAGACTTGAGGATTGAGGATACCGTTCTGGCTCGCATGTTCAAGAACTGTTGTGACAACTCCTGAAGTTTGTCTTCTCTGCAACTTGGAATGGTCCCAGCTGTCTCAGCCCAGTTGCTTTGTTGATTAGATTTGTTTTGTGGTCCCCAAAACCATTCTCACAGACAGCATGTGTGGCTCCGGGATGTGTGAAAAACCGCTTCGCCGCTTCTTTCGGATTGGTTCGTTAAGAAGGCCTTTCCCGACGAGGCGGAGTACAAGCGCTTTATCAAGCGTCGCTGGGATTGATGGGGATTTGATTGGGTGAATGGCTAGTTGGTGCTTTTTCCAGTATCCTTTATTGGCCTAGGAAGCCCAGGCTGAGAAGAAGGAGCGAACATGAAATGAACAGATGTGACCTACTATGACCATGACAACATACTGCTTTGGGGTCGAGGCTTTGTCCTCATTCGTTTTCCCTGATTTACACCAGTCGGTTTCGGACCTCGCCCTTGCAAGCATGAGAGGGTGCCCCGAGCGCCAAAACGCTTGAGTGCAGCCACGTGCAGCCACCGCATACATGCGATGGTCGGAGGGTTATGGTCGAACCATTCCGCCCCACAAGCTTCCACACTGTTGATGGACAACACAAGCTGCGGCACCCAAAAGCCCTCCAGAAACCACAGAAAAGACTGTGTTCTTTTTTTTTTTTCCGGGACCTTTGATTTGGGAGTTGTATCTAGTGGTGCAGGAGTTTGTCCACCAACGCCATGTTCGGTCCACGTTTTGGTTTCATCCTGTGTGAGGCGGACACCCTTTCTGAATGCTCACAGGTATGCTGCGGTCCATTCCCCCAAGGAACTGCAAGGTGTGTTAGTCAAGTTTGCAGAATAACCACATGGGCACCAATATGGAATGGTTCCCATTCCGGTTTCCCACGGGCTGCTTCAAATCCTCTTCGACGGCTTGGCGGAGGACGAGCGAACACCAGGTGTTCAGATCCACCGTGTCGAGATGCAAAGCCATTCGGTGACGGAGACGATGATCCATCCAAAACCTTCGGGTTAGAGGTGCCCATGATCCATGTGTTTCAGACATGTTCAGACTCTTCATTGGTTATATATGGTTTGCAGGCCGATGATAGATTGATCAGCAGAACCGAAACCAGAGAAGGGCTAGGCAAGATCTCGAAATGCCGGACCAAGAGGAATGCCACTGGGGTGTCACAGTCTCCCGTTTTGTAATGTTTAAAAGGCTGACTTGCTTAGGTGTAGACCTGGAGACTGTCCTGCTGATGGTCCATGTTCTTTAGTTGTTAGACATCGGCAGATGTTTTTGTGTCGAAGTTGTGACTTGGATAGATCTGTCCTTTTGCCTGTCAGCCACTGCAGTCATCAAATACAGCTGTTGTCTATCAAGAGAACCCTTACCTTTCAGGTAAAGTCATGGTAAATCAGTAAAGGCCCCATGAACTGGATCTACCGATCGACCGTCCGTTGTTCTGTTTCCTTCTCTCCCAACCGACAGTCGCCTCCGGTCGCCTCGAGTCGCATCGAGTGGCAGGTCACGGCGGGAAGTGCAATGCTTCCACCGGCGATGCCCAGACGTGCTACGTCTTCGACGTGGCACCGCTGCAGCTCGCAGGCGAGGTTGCTGTCTTGCGGGAAAAGGCGGGGGTGTCCTTTGGCAAAGTTAAACGAAGACCAAAGTGCAAAACTGGAGAGGTCTCGGGCCTTGCAATCTCAGAAGGTCTTTGGCAAGTTGACTCTGAACGTCCTCCCACTTCGAAGAAAGAGATCCTCAGGCGCTTTGGACCGCTTCTGCCAATTCTTCCGAACGCCGCTCTTCACAGAAAGCGCCGCATGGCTGGACATGGGAGATCTGGGGCATCAGACCAGCCGGACTCCGAGGTAGGCCTTTGCAGGCTTTGGATTTGGTTTCTACCAGCCCAAACGAAGAGTGGCCATTCTTCACCCCACTCAAAGATCAACGATTATTACTCCAATTTGATCCAATTAGCATTTTTCTTGCAGGAGAGCATCTACTATTCCATACAGAGTCTCAATCGGTTTCAGGGTGTCCAAATACCGTGGTCCCCCATATGAAACTGCCCAACTTCCGATACATGGCGTTCTGCAAAACACATCGCCTGTTCCGGACCGTCACGGACCGTGCTTTTTCTTAGGCGACCGAGCGCGAGATCAACGCCGTCGACAGCGAGCATTCCATGCGTCTGCAGGACGATGGCCGCCGGAGCTACGCCGTGCCCGGGCAGCGAGGGAAATCGGGCGACTTCTTTGTGGCGCGGCGACGAGCCTCGAAAGGCCAGCGAGGTCATGGGCTGGCCATGCCTGCGTGGATTGATGTCATAATTCAGTGATATCAAGTGCTTGGTGTCAACAAAATGAATAGGATTGGTCTGACATGAACTTGCCCACTTAAAGCTTCCAAACTTGCGATTATATAATCCTGGTGGCTTCATGCAGCTTCACTGCCTGAGGCCCTGCTGTTGGATGCGAATCCACAGCACCCGCTGCACTGGGGCTCCGGCAATGCTCAGTGGGGGTGCTCAGTCGGGACGCGGACAAGAACCGACAAGGCGCACGAGACCATGGGTTTTCATGGGTTTTCTGGGTCTCGTGGGATGGTCTTATCTCTAGGTTTCATGGGGTATCAATGGATCTCATAACAAGGAGTTCACCGGTTTCTGGATGAGATGATGGGTCCTCATCGACCTTCTATATGTCTATTCGCTCATCAACTGTATGTTCGGTTGAGATCCAGTGGTGTCACCAGGGGCTCGAGCGGCAAAGCACCAAAACCATCCCCACAGGGCAGATACACATGATGCACAATGTCGCGTAAACCCCTATCTTCCAGTAATATGTTCATACATTTCCCATTGGTCCAGGTTATGTCGCAAAGCTCTTCTTCTCCCCCACGGTCGCACCGGAGCCCCTTGGGACCGCCCCAGGAGCTTGAGAGAGGAGCCCAAGAAGCGTGGCGTCCAACTCCACAGCGAGGCGACAATGAGAGCACGAGCGAGGTTGCAGATGAAGTGATGGACTGATTGGAGACATAGGACACGTTTTTTTGTGTGTTTGTTGAGATTGGCATGCGTTGACTGACATACATGAGATGAGAGTGTGGCATTCAAATATGCATTCATGACGTCATGTGTTTTTTGTTGGAACCCGTGGTTCCTTTGTGGGACAGCCCTCTGACTGTGGGACCTTCGCTGAGAGTCAGACGTGTCTTGAAACGGCCGCAGTGGTCTCTGACCGACGAGGTGGTGAGATTTTATCACGAGAACTACACCTCTGAGGACCGTTTCGGATGAGTTGAGGGAACGGGTCTTTAAAGATCCGCATCTCTAACAGCTTTGTGAACGTGGATGTCAGGTCTAGATCCATGTTTTTGGGATATGTAATATGTAACATGTATATGAGTATATGTTATATTTTGTGTGTTTAGTAAGCACTGGTTTGCAGCTGTAGTGGTAATTGGAACCAGTGGCTGCAAGAGAGCTTAGCAGAGATACTTCATCTAGGTTCGCAATTGCTGGTTTTCTGGCATGGTTACAACAAAAGCTACAGTATTACCAGCTACCACAGTGCAGGACATGACCCTGGCAGTGTTGGGCAAAGAGCCTTTAGAAGAGCTGCCACTTGTCGCAGCGAACGATGTGAACGTCTGGAGTCGAGACGACCTTTTGTGCCCTGGAACATGTTCGGCCGCCAAAAGCTGCAGCTGACTAAGATCAACTAGTAAGATCAACTAGTTGTGTGACATGTTTACCTGCCACCTGGTGTATCACACCTGTCTGTCAATTGTAAATTGGTGTATCCTTCGATCAGGAGGGCTTTTGTTTTCAGGAGGGCTTTGACCCAATCAGTTCGGAAGATGTTGAGTAGTCTGGATGCCGTGCCAGCTGTGCCAGCAGCCAGACAAGGAACCGAGGTCCATAGTAATTATATGCATCCAATGTCCATAACGGGTCCAAACGGGTGTGTAAGTAACTATAGTGAGACCCTCCAGGCAATGACCCTCTTCCAGGTTGGGTAAATAGACTAGTCTACCTATGTCTACCTATGTCTAGCTCTCCAAAACCAGGGGATCTCCCTATTCAAATCCACACCCGTATGGGTCCATTTGGCTCGGTCACCGGTGACCCGTTTCACCGTCCGGAGGCGGCAGATGGTCATGGAGCGCTTCAGCTCGGTGAAGAGCACCGGGCACCGGGCGCTGCGGGGAGCCGGGAGAGCCCGGAATGGGAGGAGAAACCTTGTGACATCTCATATGATGTGTGTGTTTTCTTGTTTTGATTGTGTGTGTGTGTGTTTTGTTGCCATGCAATATCATGCAATCAACGGTCATGAGTGGTCTCTGAATGGATGGCGGCCTGGTGCTGGCTGAGGATGAGCACGGAGCGAGTGAGATGCCATTCCGGCCACAGGAGCTGCAACGGATGAGCATGGGTTCCGCATGTGTTCGATGTTTACAGCGCCTTTTCATCTTTCCAAACCATGCCAACTGAATGACCTCTTCACAATCCTTCAGGTCCTGGACCCAGTACAGGATGCCAGGTGCTGTCTGTGTACTGAGAAACACCATCATTCATCCATGGCGAGCAATTTCTCGCCATTCCGAAATAGATGTTCCATAGATTTTCATTATATGCCCTTGCATTGTGTCATGTGTGTCACGTGTATCTTCTATGATTCTACAAACAAACACACCCGGGTACTTCCCAGTTGTCCACATCACACCGTGGTGCCACGTTCAAGGACTTCACCGGGGCGTGCTGGCGGGTGCCTTCGAAGGACGACGAAGCCGCCGCCGTCACCGGCGCGTCACCGGCGCCACACCGGGGCCATCCACGTCTCACCGGTGGGGCTCCCGGTTGAGACGAGGTTCCTCAGATCGCTGAGAGGAGCGTTGGATCATGTTGGATCGCTTCCTAGTGTAACATGTTCATTGACAGGTGAGACTGGGGCTGCCCTTCATTCCAACACCACAAGCATTGCAACAAAACAGCCCTTTCATATTCTTTCGTGCTGTATATTGGCAGTCTAAAACATGGGCAGTTGCATGCGTGTTTGGATTGCCAGGAAAAGGGATCATACTGAGACACTGCAGGATACTATGCAGAGCAATGCCATCCAACTTGCACATTCCATTCCCCCTTGAAGCAACGTCTACACGATTCCCCTTGTAGCCTGTAGCGAAGGCCACAAGAAAACTGGTCAAAACTTGGAAACACATGGAAACACAAGGTTCTCAAGAAAGAAGGAACAAACACATAGAAAGTAGATGAAAGTAGCAAACACCAAACAGTTGAGGATCATCCAAATTCAGAGAGGGTTCGGAGACAATCCAGTGGAAGGGAACGGATGGTCAAGGAATCGAACTTGGGAACTTGTCAGGACTTCAGGCAGGTGAGCTTCGCGTGGCAGCTGCCTAAGTGGCAGGCCTGATGTGTCAAGGTTTTTTCAGACATGTTGGCTTCGAGTGGGTTTACCACAATGGGGCTTTAAGCCATTAAGAAATGATGAAGTAAATGACCTGGTGGTTACCGCCATTCCCCTTGGTACCGAACATACCAATCCACTTTTGTTTGGAAGATGAAGATGACCACCAGCTGTTTAAGGAGGCTTATCGCGTGCTTATCGCGATGTTCGGCGTGTTCTGAAAGAATACTGGTCCGATCCACCGGAAACACGTTCTGCGAAGCCCGGTTTGGGGGAAGACAAGAAGCCCATCATTCGCGGGACCACGCGAGTCGACCCCACTTAGTCACTAAGCTTTGCAGGCAAAAAACAGGCTTGCAATATAGGTTGAGGTGCGGCCAGGTTTTTGGGGGAGGACACTGGTGTGAAGAGAATATACCTTTTGACCGTAGAACAGTAAATTCCGTTTGAAATTGTACTGATATGTACTGATTATCATTTCTGTTTGTTTGGGACCCAGTTGTTGCAAACCCTGCTGTAACTGCTGCAGTCAAGCAATGTCAAACATGTTTGATGCAGAGAAGGTTGAAGTGGTTGGTCACTGCTCACAGGTGCCCTTTTGGAAGTCTGGGCCCAAGCTTTTCCGCTTGAGCGCAAGTATGATGCGGATGAGAAGTGTTTTGAGTTATATACACCGGAGAGTTTTCCCTGGTGACCGCAGGTGTCTAGAATATGTCTATCTTGTTTGTCAGGGGCTGCCTGCACATTCAACGAAGTGTTCAATGTTCAGGAAACTTGACCGTCTCCCGCTGTTGCGCTTGCTTTGGACGACCAATTGACTTGCACTTTGCAGGAGCAAGCCCGGCAGCTATGCCTCTCATGTTTTGGGTCATGAGGCACGGGGGGTTGGGGGTGCTTTGTTTGCAAGTAAACAACAAATACCCGAGAGAACAGAACTACTCCGTTGGTTCCCTGAGTTTGCTTGACCTAAAGATACAGTATGATACTGTGCATGTTCAATGTTCAAGCTGTAACTACGCTCCATGTTCCCATTGCTGTGTGTTTGTAAGAACTCAGGGCAATCATTCGTTGAACGAAGATGCCAGTGTTCCCCCCTAGAAGGAGAGTGTGTACTCGGTGGAGAATCAAGATAAGTAGAACGATTGAGCAATCCGCCTGTAAGGAGCTCAGCGCCATGAGGCATGGCAGGAATCCAACTTAAAATCGCACACGGCAATGTTAAAAACTGCAAACATTACGCTGATTCGGGGACTACACGAAGCAGCAGGTCGGGTGATTCTGCTGATAGCAAGGGAGAACAATTCATTCGCCGAAGCAGCAGCTCCACTGGGAACGAACCCGAAACAGCTCGCGTTCACCGCCTGGAGGGGCAGAACATTTGGATCATGTTGGATCGAGTCCATTGAATCCACATCCAAAAGGCCCCCAACAGGTATTTGTTGTGGGTGAAACTGGTGCAACTCGTTTCTTGCAGGATTTGGGTGGATTTGGTGCTGGGTGTCCCATTGTGAAACACCGAGGCAGACGCCAACTGGGTTGTCCAGAAGTCTTGGGACACCTCTTGGGACACCGGGACGAACGACCAGCCTTTTCGCTGCGTCGACGCGTCAACACCTGTTCATTCAGCCCCGATGGGGGGTTTGCTTCTTCAAATCCCTAGGCCCGTTTGGGCTCCTGGCCCACCTCCGTTTCGAAGATGCGACAGGGGTGGGTGCGTTTGGGGGGTCTAACCACCTTACCTGAGGATGGTGGGCCAGGAGAACCGGAAGACTCGGACGCAAGGGACCTCAGCCGCCGGCCCTGGCCGTCCGTAGGTCCGTAGGAGGTCCTCACGGAACCCGTTGATGTCGCAAGATCTGGGATCGAACTGCTGAACCATGCTGAACCGTTTCATGTTTTTTCCCCACCAAACCCTTGAAGGTGGACGCACTTGCCATGGATGATGCATGCTTCCTTCAGATAAATTCAACGATTGGAGTTTCCAGCCTTCAGCTGAAGGAAAGTCAGTCCGTGGGGGTGTTGCATGGCTTTCAGCTGGCACAGCTTGGTCAAGAGTATGGCTGGCTTTGCAAGGCAGTGACGGTTACAACCTACACTTCTTTAGCCGTGATCTTGCTGTGCTTTGGTTGTCCTGAGAAAGGTCCAAAAGATCCAAGAATGGTGGGTAGGAGCACCGTGACCATCTACTTGGGCCTAGTCGTTGGACTTTTGTATTTCACCACTGATCAGTACCTTCCAAGTATGCCCCAAATGGAGGTGGAGCTCGCTGGGTCTCAAACTCTTCTTTCTGGCTCCGTGCAATTGAATATCTTTTCCAAGTGCGTCATCGGCCTCATCGTCGCTCCCTTATCTGACAAGATTGGGAGGAGGCCAATCATCGTGACATGCGCCTCAGTCGACAAGACCTTTTCAAACCTGTTTGAAGAGGCATTGTCGGACTCGTAAGTGCTTCGAGTTGAATAGAAACATATATATATATAGGAACCAATGACTTCGCTTCAAATGTCAACGTATCGGACATTGTTTTGTGTCAAGTCGTATAGGTAGTTTATGAGTAGCGGAAAAAAACAGCAACTACTTGTTTTATGGGTATAGTATAGTTATGTAAAGTATCAACTGTCACACACTTGTGATAAATCCACTTCACATGGATCACACAGGTACAACACTTCTGATTTTGGGCTCCTTCGGCTGTGCATTGGCTCCAGACGTCGGTTGGTTCCTGGCTTCCCGGATCTTGCAGTCCTTGGGCGAATCGCTGGAGCCGGTGACCTTCGCGATCCTCCGGGACTGCTTCCCGGAACCACAAGACAGGTGGGATGAACCCCACAAGGTCGTTGTTCTATTGGACTTGATCATTTGCAGATATGTTGAAGGTTTTTCAAGGTTTAGCTGAAAAAATCAATGGTGCACATGCTATGTAATTAACTATATTCTATATCGTTGCATATGTTGTCACAATCTATGATATTAATGTACTTTCTTGATGCCCTTGACCAGGTTGGCGGCCGTGTCGGTGGTCAGAGCATTTGAGCTGTTTGGAATATTTCTTGGACCAGTTGTAGGAGGGCTTGTTGCCTCATTTAGCCATTGGAGAGTTCCCTTCTTTCTTCTCACATTGGCTTGGGCGGGCTTGGCACACTACGCTGCCTTCTGCATCCATGAAACGGCCGTGGACACGAAGGATCCGCCCAGCTACAAGCAGAGCTTCCAGCGCGTCTTCTGGGATCCACAGCTGGTGACCTTGCTGATGACCGAGACTTTGGTGTTGAGCACCTATTACGCCTTTGATTCCAACATCAGCTATCTCACCGAGGGTCTCTATGGTAAGGGAACAGTCACCACCTCTTGGCTGATTGGGGCCTTTGCTTTGTGCTCGGCCTTTGGAATGCTTTTGGTCACGATGTCTACCGGTCAAGTGCTGGTAACGGCCAAGCGATGGATGACAGCCTTCAGTTTAGGATCCGGCTTATTCTTTGTCATTGCAGCGATCTTTTTCTCTCACTACTTGTGGGCCTATCTGGGAAGCTCCTTCTTGATGGGCTTCACTTTGGCTTGCTACTTGCCACTTGGGGTTCTATTCCTTGATCCTTTGGAGGATTTTGCCGGCACTGCTGCTTCCTTCGAAGTCTTTGCACAAGCAGCCCCACCATCGATCTATTCGGCTTTGGCAACTCAAGGTCTCATCCATTTTGGTCAACGCGGGCTCACGTGGTTTCAAGCTGGAAGCGCATTGCTGGCAGGAGCAGTCTTCTGGATGGGTTTTGGCTCAACAAGTACACTGATCATGGAACATGCCGAGGAGAGTATCGAGCATTTGGCAAAATGAGGTAGTTCAACCGCGCAGATAGCGTTCGCTGATAGCGTTATATTACAAAAGAAAAACATGTGCGTTGCAGCGGGGCTGGTACTTACAGGGCTACATGCACTATAGTCACTAAGATGTGTAACAACAGATGCACACGGTGCCCTTGTGACCTGTTAAAGGCTTGATTCATGCACCTGAATGCCCCTCCCATGGTGACTCCAGATAGATAGGAAACAAATAGTTACAGGTCATGTTCCACAAGTATTGGAAACCATTGCCATCCTCTCAAACCATCTCAAACCAAATCCCTCAGGATTCCTATTTACACCTGGAAATCCTTGGCGATTTGAACTTGAAGTTGGACGTATAAGGCCTATCTTCCACGAACGTATTTTTTTGTAGTGTTTCTTCGCCTTTAGGTTTCCGAGGTCCATACGCACATCTTTTCTTGGTTCAACTGTCAAGAACCACTGTTTAAGATCGGCTTTGATCGATGGCCGATCTACCATCGCAGGGGCCTGGCTCCTTGCTCTCCGCGTTGAAGGCGCGGATCTGGGAACGACGTGGGCACCTAAGAGCCGAGGACACACTCCAAAAAGTCAACATAGACCCTGTTGTTTGGCCCCCTGGAAGATTGTTTTCCTCTACCAACCAAGTGGTTTTCAGGTCTTCCAGGTTCAGCACATCAGATGATGTCGTTCACGGTGACTGGGAATGGAGTGAGAAAGACCGTGAAACTTTCGAAGGAGCCAATCCGACGGAGCGCTCGAGCTGTCAACAGATTTCAGTTTGCCATTGAACTGCATGGCTTTTCTGCTGACCAATGCTCGAGCGTCAAGATCATGCTGTGTATAGCGTCAAGGTCCTGTCAATTGTGCGTCATAATCCATCCCAATTGGATTGTACTCGTAGATTGTGCAAGCTCTTCTATATGCGTGGGAATATGCGGGGGTTATTAATCAAGATTCTACACTAATCTATATTTCAAGTTCTGGATTTTTGTTTTAAGATGTTGAAACATGCTCATGGGTGTGTGGCCCTCTGGGGATTGTGGGATCCGGCTTCGTTTTCCTTCTGTGCGGTCTCATTCCGATGGGAACCCAGCCTTCCAAAGCAAAACAATGGCCTTTCCCAGAGCTTTATGGCTCTCCTATGTTCGCTTTCATTTACGTTGAGTGAGAACATTCGAAACTTCGACAACTGTGAGGTTTTGGCCCATGGAGGTTCTGGAAACAAAACCCCGAGGACTTGACGACATAGATTTTATCCCCAACTCACTTCACAAGTCCTTCTGTATTGAACGTGGTGCAGCAGGCTGTTTGCAAGGAACCTGCAAGCTGCAGTATTGACAACGTGAGTAGTAGAAGGAAATACCAAAGAGAAGGAAGGTGTCGGTCATATTGATCAGTGTAGGTCAACCACTGGATGTGCCATTATTGACTCGGGTTTGGGTCTGAGTCGTAAACCCGAAACAGCTCGGTTTGGATCTTCATCCCCTCTCCTCCGCCTTCAGATCCCCAAGAACCGGCCACCCATAAACTGTCCCTGGCCCCCCACGGTCGCCTTGCTTCGCGCTTAAAACCGCGCCTAAGGCGAGCGGTTGGGCCACCTCGCTGAGTGCTGGGACGACGGACTTCGGCAGCTTCTCCCAGTTCCAGGCGAGGCGATGCGATCGGCCGGGTTCGGTGGGATCTCTGGGGGACGGTTGCGCACGAAGGGTCATGGCATCGTGCCAACGGAGGGTTGTTTCACCCTGGAAGAGGTACTCGTACAAAGGACAGTGATAGCTTGCAGACTAGATGATGCAGGATCACGAGATGAGAAGAAGCTCCTCACAGTGACTCACATGACGATCTCGCATGGAAGCGGATGGCAGCCTTGGTAAGACCGTCTTCCTAGCCACACGCACGCACACACACACACCATCACACACCTATATAGTTTATTGTGTTTCTTTTGTTTCCACTTCCACGTTGGTAAGTCGGAGTGTAGCTGGATCACAGTCTGCGGCTCACGGCGTTTCTTTGGGACTTCCATATCATGCCCGGCCGCCTTGGAAACCATGAGGTCGCTCTCTCCACTTTCAGAAGATCTGTTTCATGGGTCTTCGACAAGATGTTTCTCCATACACTTCGAAACACCAGGTCTTTCTTAATTAAGGATGATTGTGTAAGGAATTGTTGTTTTCTAAAATCCCTGCAATTTGACCTCTTTGACTTTCAGTGGGCAGTCTCAGAGACACCTTGAGGGTTCCTGGACTGACTGTTTGATTGGCACCCTGTTTGGGGGAATATGCTGGAATGGTTTTTTACATACAATCCTACATGTAACCCATCTTGCAGCGCAGGTGACCATTGCTCTAACGGAACAGGCCCGTGGTGCGCAAGGGACGCTGAGAGCTTGCAATCAAGTTCAGACTTCAAGAAGCTTCGGCCACATCAACATCAGAGTCTTATGTTAGGATCTGTCAGTCCTTCCAAGGTAATTCTTTGGAGAAACAAGCTCCACGAGTATTCAGCTGTTCTGGCCTTGTGTAGCGGAATTCTACCCCTCACTTCTTGAGCTGCAAACCCACTCGAACCCACTAGTATTCCACTAGTCTAGTGTTGTTGGGGTCCCTAGCTGCAGCTCTAGGCATTAATCTAGGGGACTTAAGGTAACTTCAAGTCAGGTAACACCGGTCTAGTTATCAATCTATATAACTTGATTCCAAGTTGGGTTCTCAAATCGCCTTGCACGAGTACCTGGGGATCACCACCTGTCCTTGAAAAAAAGCACCACAACATCTCACTTCGACCACTTCTGAAAACCCCCTCAAGCAAAGTCACTGACCGTGACCAGTCGCACCGGTCAAGACTGGGATCCACCCTTCACTCCTTAGATGCATACTCGCAAGATGTATTGCGACCAGGGGCTGGAGAAGATTCAGGAGATTGGACAGAGGCAGGTGATAGTGGCCAGGGGTGAACTTTCATTTCAAGAACTGTCATGACCCCAAGCAGCTGAACTGAAGGCGCCAACAGAGCAAAGATCAGAGCCAGTCGACAAGAGCCATTTGACAAATGCACTTTGCTTTATTCTTAGTTTGTGTTTGTGTGTGTATGTGCGTGTCAGAGTTCTTGTATGGACTTGTTTGTAAACAGTGATTTCTTTTGAGGAGCCCCGAGGGCCGATAGGTACATGTTCCCAAGTGCTTTGTTTCATGTTGTTTCCTGTGTCATTGCAGAGTCGATTGCAGTAAGTTCCAGGTGCAGTGAATCCTTCAATTGCAATAGTAGAACAACATGCCAAGCCTTTGCATGTGCTTGAAGTTGGTAAGTCATGTTGGACCCAAAGTATTGATACACCAGTGTACATGTTGTTCTTTCCCAAAGAGCCCAAAACATGCGCCCGGATGCAGGACTTGCACACCATTGCTGGATGTTGTTCAACTGTTTGCCTGTTTGTGTGACACCAACATCTAGAATCCCTTTCGCAGAATCCATGGGTTTACCTTCAGACCCAAGAAGCACTTCTGAGACAAAGAGGTGGTCTTGTCCCTTCCTCACGCTGTCAGTTGTTCTGTCTCAACCTCGGCGTCACCGGTGAGCCACTTCCACACCGACTCGACTCCTCTTCGGTCCTGTCGGCGGTGAGGCTCTTCACGATGATCGGCCTACTGCGGGCCACACCCGTCTCCCAGTGGATGCTGCAGGAGAGCTGAAAACCAAAGAGAGTGGTCACCTCACCCGTTTGGGCCCCTGTCCCACCATCCTCAGAAGGTAGGGACAGACACCACTGGCACCCACCCCAACACCCTTCTGAGGATGTGGGACAGGAGCATCTTGGAGTGCTAGGGTCCGTCCGTGCACACGGGCCAACTGCCAGGAGATGCAGCAGCTGCTGGAGGTTCAGTTCCGCTTTGCTGACGATTCACAGTCTGCAGCCCAGTGACTGCTGTTTTCCTTGACGTTGCGGAGTGGGTGGCATGCACAGCACATGGTGTTGGAGGTGTGATTTTGGGGACGGCGGTATGGAATGACAGATGAGAGCCCTAAAAACACAAGTAGATCATTAGCATTCATTAGCGTCATTAGCTGCACTGAAGAGTAGTTCTAGGTCCAGCACAACAAATCTAGACTCCCGAGGGTGGTCCCCAAAAAGCGAGGGTGGTCCCCACATGTCCCCTATACTGTTCTCTTCTTGGTGGCCTTTGTTGGGGCTTCAGCAGGACCCGAAGCTGGGATCTAGATGGTCGGTGTTCCCCCCACCCCTTCGCAAGCCTGCGGAGCGAAGTGACTCAGCTGGGTTTGTGGTCGATATTTTTCAGTGCACAGGTGGAAAGCTTTCTCCGAAGGGTTTCATTGGACCGTAATTGGATGATGTCCAAGTGTGGAGTTCAAAGATCTGAATGTATTGACGAGGTTAAGCTTAAACCGAGCTTAAGCTCCAACCCAAGCATTTGTCCACCTCTCGGTAGGGTCAACACATGGTCAAACCTGCGTGGTGGCCAACTGTGTAACGAACATGATGAAATTAGGGAAGAATTTGTACTTATATATATAAGTATCTAGTAACTACATTATATGAGTATTTCTTTGGCACTTGAGTCGCTTGTTTTGATCTTCAAGTGCTCCAAGTGGCAAAAGCCACACAATTCTCTCCAGGCCCTATAACCTGGTCTCGCGCTTGGCGCGGAACCTGCAGAACTATCCTCCGGAGGAGGTCGGAGATGGTGGTACGGAACAGAATGGCGTGGTGTGCGACGGACGTGTGTGCTGTTTGGTGGTTGTTTGGAGTCAATTCGGTTCGGCATGTTATCTCCCACATGGTTGGTTGGTATTTAACATCCTAATTATATAAGAGGCATTTTGATTGGATGCCTTCATTTGCCATGGTGCTGTTTTTTTCTGCAAACACACTCAGCGTGATTGACAGTTGCCCTGGAAATCCAGTGGCTGGATACTAAGAGAATGAACGACTTCTTAACGGAGACACAACGAAGAAGCATCACTAGCATCCAAAAGAAAAGCCCCCTGAGTAAACTTTCTAAACTCGTCGGAAAGAATTCAGCTGCGTTGAGGTTGACTAGGCCAGTCTTGGTCCACTTTCTTGTTAGATGTGTTTTCAAGACTATTGTGTCAAGCATATGTTTGCAAATACATGCGTTTCTTTGCAAAACATGATTGGACTCTCATGACTAGCTTTCTCAGGCAAGGCCATTCTTGCTCATGAAGCCATTGAGTTGGAGGGAATCTGAAGGGTAGTTGAACATTGAACTCGATCAGTTCATTTGTTTCAGGGAATATTCCAGGAGAAACAGTGACCCTGTTCGAGAACTCAGACCCCGGCCGCAACTTTTGTAGTGATGGAAAAGAAAGTACTTCGTAGAGGCGTGCTGTAGACCCTGATTGACACTTGGTGTTTGCTTCATGAAATGTCTTGACCCAACTCAAGGATTCACACCCCAACCATCGAAAACAGGCCCCCACCATCGAAAGCACGATATGGCTGTGAGTCAAAATCCTGGTAGGTGGACGGTGTCTGGAGGCGTCCTTTTTGTTCATTGGGACTCACCTTTTTCCCCCGCAGCTCCGCCAGGTCTTAGCTGCTCCGGTACTGCTGTCCGAGCCGGATGTGGTGCGCACGAAGGACTTCTTGCAACACCTCATGGTCGCTCAGCTCAGGGTCACGACTTTTGGGTCCAGCTTTTGGTGTGAGGTGCCAGGTAAGCTACGAAGCTCAGAGGTTGTCTATGAATCTGGTCCGTTGGTTGCGGTTGGGAAGCTACACTTGAGTCTGAGCAGACACATTGACACTGGAATATGGGGTTTCAGACCGGGTTCCTGGCCTCAACACAAACAGCTTGGGGTGTGGTTCTTGATTGTTTTTTACATGGTGAGGATGGGTAGGTGGTGTGCAACAGCTTGGGTATTGATACAAAAATCCAAGGGTCTGCAGGAAGGCACTCTGAAATGCCTTTTCCGGAACATGTGAGGCAAATTGTAGTCATCCTGGTCAACTTGTGTCATTGAAAGTCGCTAAGAAGGTCTAAAGCTGCATCATTTGGATAACCCCCCCCCGGCAAACTAACATGGAACCTGAGAATTGACCCCGTGCTTTCGACATTGTTCGACCATTTTCCCAATACCAACCCAGTGGTTTTAGGGGTCCCATGTGGTCCTTTGCAGCCATGTTCCATGCCCGGAACAGCCCGCGCAGGTGGATCAAGTTCGAGTGGAACTGGTGTGGTGGCCCGGAGTAGGACGGCTTGTGGGGAAGATGACCTTCCAAAGGTGGACGACCGCAGAAAGTGCAGGATCTCCCGGTGGGATACTCACATCCTTCCAAAATAGTGATCACCCAACTGGATAAATCGACATAAATTGATCGAAACTGGTTTGTTTTGATATGAAGATGGGTTGTTTGCCTCTCTAGCCTGACATGACAACTAATTTCATGTTGGAGTGCGTTTGTGTTGGTCTTTGCATCGTCGGCATCGCGAGTTAGTGGAGACCAAGGAGCAAGCAAAGCTGCTCAAAGCTGGCATTTGCTGAAACAGATTCTACGTTCTACAACAGCCGCCACCGCCTCCGCCAAGACCCCCAGACCGCAGCCATTGGGGCAAACCACACCGGTGGGGCAGGTCTCCAAGAGCTACAAGGACCGATGCGATCAGCAGGAGCCGAAGGGTCGCCCCCTTTTTGGGTCGCGGTTCGCGGTTCGCGTGCATTGGTTGCGTTCCGAGCAAGACGTTTGGTGAGCAGAAGACCTATATCAGCCACAAAAGACCCCTGCGCACACACGGACCCGAACACATAGAAAGCTCTAGTATATGGTCTGAGCATACTATATGATCTTAGCCATGGTTCTTACCGCAAGGGTTAAGGCTGGGTGTTTGATCGGAGGGGCGCGCATCCGTGAGCGGCTAGTTCCCTGCCATTTACAGTGCATTGATTCACCTCGAGATCTTTGAAGTGTTCGGACTGCACAGGCTCACAGACGGTGGGCCCGAGCGGGTGCTCTTGAATGAAATCTCGTTGTGGTGCTGTGCGCATGTGCTGTGCGCACTTTTCGTGGCAGGCGCAGGGGAAACCTCGTGGTTTGGTGCTCCAAAGTCGGTCCAAAGTCGGCTTCTCGTGACAGGTGCAGGGGATCGGAGCCGGCGATGTGCAGACTTCATTGCAGGCACAAATGGTGGTAGGCACAACACTTAATATGACTATTTAACGGAGGCTTGTCAGCGGCGTGTGTGATGCAAACAGCTCTACTCCAACCGCGCGTGCGAATGGTAGCGGAATGGAACCGACGCAGTTATTGCCAGGGAGGCAGTTTAACAAGCCTTGGGGAACTCTCGCTTGACGTCGCTCATTCTGGCACCCAACCATGATGTGCGCACACACTTACATTGCTGGGGCGCACAACTCTTGTGAAGATACATGAAGATACTATATATCGGAAACTGGGGGCAAGCTATCGTAAAAGACACACCCCAAGAACGACTGCCTCTTGAGCTCAACACCATTGAATTCAGCCAGATTTCCTGAGAGGACCCTTGGTATGGAGGTCGCTATCACCGTGGTCCCTTGGAGGTTCCGACAGCGTGCCGAGCTCCGGAGATGCCCGGAGTGGAGGGAAGGTGAAACGGGTTTTGAGACCAAGGCTGCAGAAACAGACTGCAGCATACTGCAGCAAGGACTACAATCTGGAACTGAAATAATCATCAACCAGTTGCCTATATAATATGATCAGCATATGTTTTTTGATCCCGCTCTTAGAGGCAGCTGCTTTGTGAGGTCTTTACTATTCTCATCTAGGCAATGAACATGCGTTGATTGATATCATTCATGTGTTTGTTTTTGCATTCTTCATTTTTGGATCTTCCTACCTTCAAGCCAGATAGAACCAACTCACACTACCCAACATCAGATCAAAGTCAGGGATCGTCAGTCAGGCCAGCTGGTTGGAAGCTTGGCGGAGAGTGGAGATCCCAGGAGCTTCCAAGGCGAAAGCTGAGGAGCAGAGAGGGACTGAACATTTGTTTCCGTTTGGGATCTAAGAGGAGAACCGTGACATGAATCGCTTGGATGGCTGACATGAATAAGTGAACACCTCTGAACCAAGGTTTCCAGGTGCTTGGAACATGTTAAGGTGAAATTGAACACATGTGATTTGTAGGAGCTGGTTGCTTAGTAGGACGCATGTGTTCTTTGCACCATGCCGCAAGATGTCCGACCGAACCCCCTCCCTATTTAACCACGGAAACGTGGGACATTTGGCCTGGCATGGATGATGCATGTTTCCTTCAGATCAATGCAACTGTCGGGATTTCGGACTTTCACGTGAAGAACTTGACGAGCAAGGGACTATTTGCTGGATTGGTTCATCTGGGCGAAGAGTATGGCTGGATTTGCAAGGCAGTCACGCTGACAACCTACTCTTGTTTGGCTGCGATTTTGCTGGCAACGATGTGCTTTGGTTGTCCAGAAAAACGTCCCAAGGATCCACAGATGGTTGGGAGCAGGACACTGACGATCTACCTGGGTGCCGTCTCAGGACTCTTGTACTTCACCACTGATCAGTACCTTCCAAGTATGCCTCAAATGGAGGTGGAACTCACTGGGTCTCAGACCCTTCTCTCAGGCTCCGTGCAATTGAATATCTTTTCCAAGTGCGTCGTGGGCCTCATCGTGGCTCCTTTGTCCGATAAGATTGGGAGAAGGCCAATCTTCGTGACATGTGCCTTGCTTGGAGTCAATATATGCTTTCAACCATTTTAGCAGTCACGAGATATTTATATTATACTATTTATAGTGGCACAGTCATAATCGTGATAGTGCACTGACTGATCCCCATCTTCTCACAACTTTCACCCGTTCTTTTGTTGTGAGAAGCGCTCCGCTCGGGTGTGGGAACGCGAAGCGTTCAAAGCGCTCCGCTTGGTTTCACCTAGGCGCTCTCCTACTGATCTTGGGCTCCTTCGGCTGTGCCTTTGCTCCGAACGTCTCCTGGTTCCTGGCTGCCCGTGTCATCCAGTCTTTGGGCGAGTCACTGGAGCCCTTGATCTTTGCGATCCTGCGCGACTGCTACCCGAAACCGGAAGATAGGCCCCCAACTGGGGGGGGGGTTCATGGGTTCGCCTTGGTGTTGGGCAGGAAGAGCCTTTTTAGGGGAGGGTGTAGATAGGAGTAGATGGGCACTTTATTGCTTACCACTGAATGAATACGCAGCTTGGGAGATTTCCGTCTTTTGTTTTCGAATGTCCGAGTTTTCGTGCTGGGAGTGAAGTATTAGCAGGCTGGTGGCCTGGTCAGTGGTTCTAGCACTTGAGATGATTGGCATAGCTATTGGACCAGTTCTGGGAGGGCTTGTTGCCTCCTTCAGCCATTGGCGAGTTCCCTTCTTTCTTCTCTCACTGGCTTGGGCGGGCTTGGCCAACTACGCCGCCTTCTGCGTCCACGAAACGGCTGTGGATGTGAAGGATCCTCCCAGCTACTGGTCCAGCGTCAAACGAGTCTTTACGGATCGACAGCTGGTGACGCTGCTGGTCGCGGAGACCTTTGTCTTGAGCACTTATTACACCGTGAATGCTAACATCAGCTATCTCACCGAAGGCGTCTATGGAAAGAGTAGCCTGGTAGATTTGGACACCCATATGGCTCATGGCTCAGATGTGTTGAAACAGCCGGGGCCTTTGGTTTGAGGGAATCTCCAGACATGGTGTAATCTCCGCAGGGGGGTGAAAGCATGTCGACCCCTAGCAAGATAAGGAGGTGATTACCGTACGGATACAGAAAGCCGTGCAGATTCTGAAGATCTGCCAGAAGTGGTCACCCATCCAAAGAGGCCATGGCCATCCGCTTTCATGAATGATTATTTCCTATGGAGTGTGTTACCCCAGGTTGACCACATCGGTCCTTCGTTGCTCCAGGTACGGTGATGACTTCTTGGCTCATGGGAGCCTTCGCCTCGATCGCTGCTGCGGGAATGATTCTGGTGACGAATGCCGACACAGATGTTTTGTCCACGGCGAAGCAATGGATGATGGCCTTCAGTTTAGGATCGGGCTCGTCCTTTGTCATTGCAGCGGTGTTCTTCTCCCACTACTTGTGGTCCTATTTGGGAAGCTCCTTCTTGATGGGCTTCACTTTGGCTTGCTATTTGCCGCTTGGGGTTCTATTCATGGAAACTCTCGAGGATATTGCGGGCACTGCTGCTTCCTTCGAAGTCTTCGCACAAGCAGGACCGCCCTCGATCTATTCGGCTCTAGCAACACAAGGCATCATCCATGACGGTCAACGTGGGCTTACGTGGTTTCAAGCTGCAAGTGCTTTGCTCGCCGGGGCGGTCTTCTGGACCACCTTCTCGTTTCGGGCTTGTGGTGAATCCAGTGAGGAAGCTGAGGAGACCAGCGAGGACCCACCCAAATGAAGGGGGAAGACCCTCCAACGCAGATAGCGTTCGCTGATAGCGTTATGATGGGAAGAAAAGATCTGGCAGGTTTGGTATTTAGAGGGCTCCCTGCATCCTAGGGCCTAGGCTTTGGGGGGAAAGAAAGAGCTTCTTAGAATGCAATGCTGAGTGTCATCTCTCTCCCTCTCTCTCTTCGAAGCTGGCAAAGCTGTTTTTGGACACCTTGCCTTTTTTTTTAATGCATGAGACCTTGATCATTGTCGACCGTGTCTCGGACGGTCGCAGGAGTTTGGGATCCGCATGCCCGGGCCCAACGTGTTCGTGCCGGAGGAGCCATTGTGCGAAGTGTTTGTGCACAAAGAACGGACTCGAAGTTTTGGGCAACTTGTAGCAAGTGTCCTTTCAAATTCCTGTCCATCTCAGTACTGGATTCTCGTGTTGATTTGTTGAATTCGTAAAATAACATATATCACACCAGTACGCAAAGAGAGGAGCACACAGAGTGCTGCGCTTGACAAACTGGTACGTCTTCCGCATCTCCCAGCTCTCTCCTCTAACCTAATAGCCATGGCCTCCAACCTAAGAGCGATGGACTCCACCCTAGTAGCGATGGACTCCAACCTACAGCGACAAAATTGTATGTCTTTTGCATCTCCTGACTCTGAGCATCTCTCCTCCGCTCTTTGACCGTCAAGGCTCGGCTCAAGCCCACAGAACGGAAGGAACGCAGAACGTTGGGGAATTGGAGGTGCCTTCCTTCGTCATGCCCTGCTGAGCAGCGAAGAAAGGGCTCCTTGGTGTTTGGGTGATGGGAGGGGACGGAGGAAGTGAAGACATCAGCGGAAGTGATCCATGTCATCTTCGCCGTCCCAGTCATGCCAAGGGGGTGAGGAAGGGGGTGGGGGAGTGGACGAACTCCGCAAGTGGAGTGGCCCTTGACTTTAACATGACCAAGTTCAGGCCAAGTTCAGGTGGGATCCAGGGATGTCACATCCATCGGGTTCTGATTGGATCTTAGGAAGTACTCCAAGCACGTCAAAGAAGAAGCCCAACGCCGCGCGCTGAGCGCCGCCGCTGCACGAGCACGGCAGAAGGCGGCCGCTGGACAGGGCTCTGAGCCGCAGCGTAGCCATAGCGCGGGACCAAAGACTCGAGATTCTTGGATGAAGGAAAGCAGAGTCGGTCACTCATCGCCCAAATACCTATGGCCCAAACCTGTATACCATCCAACTAGCCTATAGCTTATAGCTTATCAATGCTTATCATATGAGGCTGGTCAATAATTCACCAGTCAACCGCCCCTAGAATCCTATGGTCTTAGTAGCCAATGGTCATGGAGGGCAGTTCGCTTGCCAAATTCTGAATTTGTCCACGGGTGACCAGTGTCCGTTTTCAGACGCACACTGCACTGGCAACACGAAGCTTTGTTACAACTACCGAATCCAAGCTCTTGATCTTGCAAGTTAAGTGAGTAGTTGAGTGTTAATTAAGTGTTAATGTCTCATGTGTTGCATTTCAAGGCATACTTAAATGCTAGTTCTTCCCTTGCACACCTGTCCAATTTTGAGCTGGTCAACGGATTTCAGCCTCATGTTGAACCAGCATGGAGCAGCCCCTCAACTGCGATCATCGGAATGAGCACCGCACTCGGTGCTGTGGGACTGAGTCGACTGGTTTCTTTTGGCCATTTGTTGGATAAAGACAGGTTCACCTTGGTTCACCTCTAAGAAGAAAGCTGGAATTGTTCAAAACAAGCAGTGTTCCTCACTTCCAAGCACTTCAAGTGCACAAGTCTCTTCCTTTGACAACACTCCTTCAGCCCAATCAGTAGCGTGCGTTTGACTGGGGCGGGTGCTTCATGTTTTTCTGTTGGATCCCCCCCAGCCTCCCAGAGAAGGCCCTTCGTTTCTCCCAGGAGAACCCTGGAGCTGGCGGGAAGCGCCACTCCAAAAGCAACACGAGCAGTGCTTGTGTGGTGATGTAGCGGCCAGCGTGGGTCCACGACGTGGTTCGGACTTGGCCGGTGGGTTCGAGTCGGTCCAAAGAGGTCGAGAGCTTGAGAGCTAGAAGTGCAAAACGGTGAAATCGGATCTCACTCTGAACATCAACTAGAAAACCAACACCAAACATCACCAAACCATGCATACCTAATTTATAATCCTAATTACATTCAATCTGTTGGATCACTTGCTTTGATACAGATAGGAGACCGCAATATCTTTGGACCCACAGTGAGCGTTTGGACTCTTAGAGGAGGGGGGAGGTGGTTGATGAACTGTGCCAAGAAGGGATGGGTGTGCCGTACAAATCCCTGTGAAAGTGGTTATGTGGTTGCCTTGTTTCAAGAAACACTGCATTATTTGCAAGCTCTTTGGTGTGCATCCATGTTCACATGTTCACGAGAAAACATGTTCATCCTACGAATCCTGCAGTTTGGCCGGTTCATTCGCACCATCACAGGGGTTTCAACAAATGTTGAAGACAAGCTACCCCAGTCCATTCTCTTGGAAGTTTCCTTTTGGCACTTGAAACAAAGGTTACTCAGCTAATCTCAGTCATGTTACTGCATGGATTTTTATTCGTACATCATTCCATTGCAACAAGAAATTCCTAGTTGATTCAGGGTATTTCAATTCGAATGGGTTGTGTTGGGAGACTTCCATCGTCCTTGTGAACCGCGCGCGGCGAGCTCGGTGAGTGAGCGCAGCCCGTGTGGCCGGTGCGAGTGAACTTCTCGCCCAGCGCCGCGTCGCCGGGCGGTGGCGAGGGCTCCTGCCATGCTGGGCTTCGGTTAATGCACATGCTGGGCTGTTCAAGGTGTCCTGCAAACCTAGGGGAAAAAAACAAAACATAGAACGTTCGAACGGTAAATAGAACATGTCAGACATCGTGCGTTCTGTTTTAAATGATGCGTGACGCAGTGACGATGCGTCACGTGCAGAATTTGAACTTTTCAGGGGTGGATTCTTTCTCGGAGATGTTGGTAAACTGTTTGTTGTTCACTTAGAACAGCCTCTGGGTAGGTTCGACGCGAAGCATTACAGTCAGACGGAAAACATGATGCAAGACAAAGAGCTGGAGCACCTCATGTCCTTGTTCAGCAACTGTCATAAGATGGAGCTTGGGTGTAGGCAAAAACCTGAGTAGCGCAAGGTCACACGGGGGAGCTTGGCAGGAATGCACCCCCAAATGTATGTATTTATATACATACTTCCAAGTTGTCATCATCATGCACCTGCTCCTGCTCCCAATTGCGCAAACGGAACCCTCGCACAGGCATTTCTTTGAACATGTGGTTGCCATGTCTTCTCAAGGCATCTGTAAGAGTCTCTGGGCCGGTTCATACTTCCCGGTGCCCGGGTAAGCACCCACTGGTCCTCTCGTGCCTTCTCGCCAGGACCTCTCTGTGACGCGGACCCCCGCAGACGCGCCTCTGACTCCGCAGCGGCTGCGGCCCTGTGCCAAGCAGATGCCGGTGTGGCAGATTTTCCACCGGAAGGATGACCGCTTTCTGCAGCCGAAGGAGCGTGAGTTCCGTTCCGGGGAGGGGATGGCGGGTAGCTCGACAGGTTTCGGTGTGGGGTTCTTCGATGTTGATCATAGGTTTTGGGACAACAGATGTTTGAGTCATACACATGTCATAGATTGAAATATGGGGAAGGCGGGCCAGAACATGTTTGATATCCAACTTACTTCAGATCTGGGGCTTAATCGGCTTGTGCACACTCTTGCCTCTTGCATAACGAAGGCAAAGCTCCCACTGAACGTATCTGACAAACCATCAGAGCCAAGACCAAGAAGAGCATGTCTGCTGGATGCTGACAGAATACAACCCTGCATCTTAGACTACAAGAGGGCCTATTTTGCAAGGACAAATCCTTCAGCAGGTGAGCCTTTTGTTGAAGGAAGAAACTGAAGAGACAGCGTTTCTTTCGTTCCTGGGGGATGTTTGGTGGTTTTGTTCGCAGAACTCTTCAACAGCTGTTTGTTTGAGCCAATCTAAGTGCTGAAAGAATCGGTCACCAATGTTCTCGATGGTTAAGCATGTCCACAAGTCATCCGCTCGTACCAACAGCTCCGCCGCGCGCAGACCTTTGTGGCCTTCAACTTTCAATGCCCAAGATCCTCCGAAGATGTGTCCCGGCGGCCAGAACATACTTGAGGGGGTTTTGTTTGCGTGTGGCAGCAGGGCTTCATTGTGCTCAGAGGGCCTAATTACAACGGTGCTGATGGCTGACCTACAGATGTTTGGAATTGGTTTCCCTTTCATTTTATCCCTATCTCTCTTTATGTCAGTTGCATTCATGAATTCACTTTGTTGCATTGTATTGCAGTTGTGTTTGTTGCTTAGACTTCAGCATCTACGGTCCCCGCCACTCCTGCACTTGATCTCAGGCGTTGCGCTATCTCTTGACGAAGGTCGGGCGTTGCGCAACGGCGGAGCTGGTCGCAGCCATTCAATTCAGTTTCGGAAGCGTCCCAAAGTGCTCCGAACTGCGAAGGGTCCGTTTTCCTGGGCGTAGGTGGGAGGGTCGACATGTGTGTTTGTGAGGTGGAGCAATATTCAGGAAATAACTGAACAAGTAGTTAGTCAGTCAGTCTATCACAATTTCTATTTGTGGTGTGTGTGTAAAGGGAGCAAGAGTCACTTGAGGTGCTCTTCCAGTTGCAGATAATTGCACGAATCCCTGACATGAATCAATGCACCGAATTAGGAAAACATGAGAAGAACACCCAATAGCAATGATCTAGGTTTCACCCAGCAATTCTTACAAAAGGATACCTGTCATTCGATGGATGAGCAAACTGATATCGGTTGATCTCCCGCAGCCTGCCACCCAGATTTGGTGCGCTTGCATTGAAGAGGCACCCGGGTGACCCACGGGCGGTGGCCGGGTCCGATGGGGCATCCCTGGGTGATTCGTGCCATGGAGACCTGGCTTGACATGCAATTTGGTTTTATATTGGACTGGCGAATGGATCAGCTTTGTTCGGCGGGAGTTGAATGCAGTCAAGTTCCTTAGAACGTTGAGTTCTTTGGAGCAAAGATACTGTATACTGTAGAGCGAATCTCTTGTTGCTGGACTGAAGGACCTGGCAAAGAAGAAGGGATGCTATGAGCAAGTTGCGTTGCTTTAGTTGCTTGATATTTACAGTACCATTGCTTCAATTTATGTTCTGGCAAGACTGTGAATAATCAACTTGCTGATAGTGTGCCTGCCCGCGTGGCAGGAGCTGAATGAGTTCTCCTATGATGCGAGTCAGGCAGCATGTCACTCCAGTTTGCTTTGAACAACAAAGCATTTGCAAAACATATGATTGATGTTTGTTGCACAAGAGACTTGTTTGTGGGCCCCAACATTTGACACACCTGAGAAAGAGTTCTGATAACATCCTGAAAGTAAACATCAGGAGACAACCTCCAAACAAAAAGTATCTATATGTGCATTTCAACTTCTCTACCAACGATGTATATATGTATCCATCTACTCTAAATGCACATCCAGTCGATTCAAAATTGTATTCCCCCCTTCTTTCTTCTTCAGTGATGCCATCTCGACCGCACATTCGTTGAACAAAAGAAAGCGAACTTGGCGTTGTATCTCAGCCACATTGCTTGTCTCGCCTCTCACTTCCTAGACCTTTGGCCAGACCTGGTGCCTATCGGAGTTAGAGCGGCTGCTCAGGCGGGTCTTTCATACAGCTTGGATGCTTCCGGTACAGGCGGGCGAGGGCACCCTACCCGACCGCTGGGCGGCTAGCGGAGTGGCTAGCGGCTAGCGGCTATCGTTGAAGTGTTCGATGAAGGCTATTTTCCAGTGCCAAGTAGCTCAGCTGCTCACCTAACTCGGGAGAGTTTTGATGAACAAACTGCTGTTGGAGGTCCAGTCACCCTCCAAAGAAAACCGATCCAACACGTTCATACCATGTTTGTTGTTTTCACATCACATCTTTCCTGGTCACGGTTCCATGTTTGGCACAGAGCTACCTCCATATCTTGGACCCAGGCATCACCTTGCTGGTCGCGGGCTTCAGTGACAAGCTGCCAGTGCTGCTCGAGGCCAGACAGAAGGTTAGCTTGCCATCGACATGCAAAAACGCAGCTCCACAAGCAAACCTACATGAATGGCTATACTGGCTACTTAAGTACTCAAAGCTATTCAAATTGATTTAAGTCCTATAGATGAGCTAGGTCAGTTGTTGCTGCCGGTGCATTGTTGTGGGCACGGCCTGCAGGTTATCGCAGGTATCTATGGTGGGCCACGTGTAAGTAAAACATGTCTTGGAATTTCAGCATCAGGTGCAGTTCTTGACTTGAAAAAGAATCCCCATGACCTTCGTCAGGCAGTGGTAGCCAAGATGAAGGAGGCAGGTTTTGCCGAAGGACAACTGGGACGTTTAGGGAATATGGATGGGGTGTGGCTGCCCTCATTGGAAAAGGATACTACCCTAGATTGTGGTTGGCTCCATTTGTTGCCCTCATGGTGATTATTGATTACCCTTATGGTGGTTTCCAATGGTTTCCATACAATGCCGATAGACTGACCTGGTAGGGGTTAGACTAGATGCACGGCTTAGTCGGGTGTAGTGGATTCGCTCAGAAGGGGAGAGAGTCCTTGTATGCCTTAGGAAATTGCTTGCCCTCAGTTGAATTGTTTTTCTTTGTGCTTGTACGTACCACCAGACATGCAGCGACTTACGCAGTTCATGTCGCAATGTTCCGTAATAAAAGAAGACATCCGACATGCCGCATGCCCAAACCGGTCTCAGGTCCAGCTCTGTCCAGCTGCCGACCGACCCGTTCACGGTTAACGGTCCTCTGATTCGGAAGGAGCTCCGCTGGCATTGTAGTTGAAGAAGACCCAAAGACCCGTTCAAATAAGACATCCTTCAAAAGGGGTTTGCTTGGTTTGTTCGACTTCAACGAAGTTAGGCTGTCTTGGACACCTTCCTTTGCATGTCTCAGGCAGTGTCTCCGGCTACCTTCAATTTGGTCCTAGACCGGACACAGCGGATGTTGCGCAACTCTGCACTGAAGATGAGGTGGGAGCTGGAAGGATGTTTTATCATGTTTGATCTGGGTTCTTGGTCAACTCCACTAATTAGTCTCAACGTGACCCAAAAAGGGTGAATACTCACATTATTTCAATTATAGGACATTTCAAAGCCTTGGATTGATCGCCTCTTTGATTCCAAAGATCCAGTGCCGCAACCGGTCAGACTGCTCGATGTGGTTTTGGGAAGACCGCCGCCTAATCGGATTACCCTAAAGAAGCAGGTCGCCCTAGTAGCCGCCCTAGAGGCCCTAAACTCGGTTGTTTTGGAAGATGATCCTGCACAAGGTGGTGGACAGTTGCACGATTCGAGTATGGAGTGACAATATCTGTGACTGGCGCGACTTGCCTCTCAAGCTTCACCTGCGTGAGCACGAGTACACTGCCAAGCCTGTTCTTCAGAGATGGGTGGCAGGTCTATATCTAGTCAAACCAAGAACCACCTGTAGTATCCTGTAGTACCAGATCACCACAGATCACGCTTCCTTCGGCCTCCCAGCTCTTCTGCCGGCGACCTAGCGCTCTGCAGGCCCTGCGACCTAGCGGTGCGCAAGAGCCGCGAGCTGACGCAAAGGCACAGCTTCAGCGTGGAGGAGCCGACAGCGGTCATAGACAGACGAGTGGTTTGTGGTTCGCTTTGAACGTTGGCGCACGCCCCAGTGTTTTGTTTGTTTTTTGCGAGTTTGGGCAAAGAGGTGCTGGGTAGTGGAGGAATGATGCCACTAATTGTGGTTGGTATAGTATTCAGTGTCCATGCATGCCGCTGCAATGCAGAGATCCGCTGCTTTTCTAGGATATGTTGTATATGTTTGTGCCAAAGAAGCGAACATTGTATATGTTTCTGCTCAGGTTTCTTTCCATTGTGTTCTGCAAGTCTCTGGCATGACCATGGCAGAAGTTCTTCTCCGCTCCCAGGAGCAGCTGAAGGTCTTAGATCAAGTCACTGTGGAGGACGTGCAAAGCGAACACCAGAGGCGAACATGTCGACGGGATGACACAGTCGGTCAAAAAACTGTCCCGCCAGCTGATAGGCTGTGATAGGCAAGCTGGGTTGAAAGTCCCAAATCAAATTGATAGACATGATGTACAATATACAATCTGTTTTGTTGATATGTCACCTGGATAGGGTAGATCGAAACAGAATCAAGGGTCGGAGTTGGCTTCTCGGCTTCTCTAACTAAGTGTTTGGCACGTGGTAATCTTGGACAGTCACATCAACTTATATAGCCAGGCCTATCTAGACCCTTGAGTCCAAGGTTACATACCATGGCCACTGTTGATACTGGTCGATGGACTCTGGGATGAACCCTGCGATAAACCCTGGTGACACGTCCGCCGAGCAGCATCTGATTTTGGCGTTTTGGGCAAAAAGATTAGACAAAAGCCAAGTAAACATTCAAACAAAACCAAACAGCAACAACGACTGAAATGATCCAATGCGCTCTTGCCCCCCCAACGTGGGTGTTCCATGCAGAATGTCCACACGTAGTCTCTTTTACAGGCTAGCGAAGAAGATCGATTAATATGCCAAATGCAGCATTCCCTGTAGAAGCACCGAACAGTAAGCTCTCATGTTTAAACATCAAATTGCACACTAAAGCCTTTGAAAGGCTTTGGCAAGGCTGATTTGATTTGATTAGATCTTATAATCTTATACTGATTGTTGCTTCGTGGTCTTACACGTCATAAAACTACAGACAATTTTTTCCTCGATCAACCTTGCTTCGTTTGCCTTTCCCCTTCTTCAGTTCCTTTCGCACGAGGCTCTTCCTGGATGCCTTCAGTGAAGCCTTGGTCACGGGCCACGCGGACGCTCCGGAGGCTCAACGTCTCTGTGCGCTCTGCTCGCTGGCGAGCCCCGAGAATGGACGCCCCGCGGAGGCGAGGCTGGGAGGCGAAACTGCGGCCGGGAGATGCTTGCTTTTGGGGGAGGACAGGTGGTAGGGATGGATGGAGGTTCGTGCAGGGATGGGCATGCAAGCGCACTAATCTTCTGCTCTATGAAAGTGGAATCCCGTGCTTTCACAGACCTGCAAGCTGGTGGAGTCGCATGAGCGCCACCATGCTCCACGAATTCCAGCCTTTCCTCAAGCCCTCAGGCGCCAGAGGAGGCGGAGCTTCCAGAGGGTCGGACCTTGTGGGTGATCCCCGGAACCAATCCCGAGGACGGCGCAGGGAGCTGGGAGGTGGGTGGAGATTGGGTGACATAGGAAGAAGGCTGGAAGCAAAAAGAAAAAGGAGCTTTACTGTAACATGATGTTTGATGACTGGAGGTGGAGCTGGGTGAAGCACTTAGTTTGCTAGGAAGTGAGCTGCGAAGTTGGTGACGAACCAGCTTTGGAGTCTAAAGCTGTCAAGATTGGCAACTTGTCCATCGGATCGTTGGCATTCTGGCTGTGCGGGGACAACTCAGGAATGCGTGCAAAGCTGCAGTCCGGCGGTGAACGATCGACACCTGGGTAGGTCAACCGGTGGGTCTGAGTGCCCGCCTGCCAGGGCCATGTTTGGTGGTTTTGTTCTTTGTTTTGATCCCATGAGTTCACCGAATCGATGGAGTCATATCGAATGGAGTGGTGATCCAGTCTGGGCCTCAGGAGCGCAACAATTGTGTGGTGATGGAACTGCAACTGCCAGACGGCTTGCAGCAACCTGGCAGCAGCCTGCTGTCACACCCCATGGGAAGGGGCTTGAACCGTACACCTCATCAGCTGCTCGACCCCAGGTCTTAGAGCGATATGTTTGTCCATATCAGCTTCCGCGAGATCTCAGAGTATTCTTTCACTTTCTGAAATAAGTCTCAAACTCCTGTTTTCGAGAAGTGAGATCAATAGCTGCCAACTTGAAGCAGCCAGGTGTTCGCCAGGGGTTCCTTCCTTTCCACATCGGACGCAGACATGTTTTCACCAAAAAAACGTCGCAGCCACATGTGAGGCAAAGTGTCTTCACTTCCCTCCTGGTGCGGATGTTGAATCCCAAAGTCTTTGAGGCCTGGTGAATTCTTGGTCAAACCCAGTCAGATCGGGGGGGGTGATCGGTTCCTATAGCCAGATGTTGTGTCATCCGTCAGATGTTAAGACTCTGTTTGCTCACAAAACTATTTCCAGCGTCAGACTGGCTCGGTGAAACATAGTGAGACTAGAATTATTACAACAACACTTGCTTCCTTCCACAGTTGGACGATCCTGTGCTTTGTATTGTGCGGATCTTTGCGGTGAGTCCATTGCAGGGAACACTGGGAGTCCGGGCCGAGAGCAACATCGCTGACACTGCCGAGAGCAATCGGAGAATTCACCTGGTTCTCCAGTCAAGTCTCCATCGGCGCTCCATCTTTGGGACAGACCCGGCTCCAAGAAAGAACATCCCATGGTTCGGGTCATCCAGTGTAGTCGATCTTTTGACTCACCGACCCGGGCACCATGCATTCGCATGCATTCGGACTCTGGGGATGTCCTTTTGTCAGGACTTTGCGCCAACCAAGGGTCGAAAAGGCTCCTGATAGTGCTCCTGATATATGGTGAACAGAGTTGCTTCGCCAGGGCTGCCATTATACATGTATTTCTACTCCGACACCAATTGGAATTCTACGGTTGAGTGTGGAAGACATGAGGGATCATGAGGGTATAAAGATAACCTTTCACAGATTTTCACAGTATAAAGACATGAGGGTATAAAGATCATACACCTTTATGCAACCTTTCACAGGCAACTGCCCCATGTGTTGGGTCAGTGAGCGGAGGCAGTCCTCACAAAACCCAACAGCCTCATGTGGTGAGGACTTGCGCACCAAGCAGCAGCTGGGATACATCGTGCAGCTGTGCCTCGAAGAAATCTTTGAGCCCGAGATGGTGATGGCACAATCTCATAGACCATGTTATTTGTTTTAGTTCGAACACTATATACTATCATTCATGATCTTTTCAGGCTGTCCGTTCAGTTTCTGCCAGTGGAGGACGGAGTGAAATGCCCCGTTTTGGCTTCAATATATATATATATAGTTTTCATGAAAAGTTCGGCGCCAGGGGCCAGGATGAAGGGCTAACTTGGACACCGAAGCAACACGAAAGTTGACTAGCACGAGGCAAACAGAGGAAGCCAGTGCTTGGAAGGTGCTTTGTTGGAGGTTCATGAGTTCTATCCAAGATTGTCTGTCAGGGTGTTTCATAACCCTTGGTGTGACCATGACCCATCCAGGTTTGCCATGTCAATTGTCCCGATCGGCATTCGTATCGTGGGGAGTCGGGATAGATTCCGACATAGCACCTAGCTGGCCTTGCATTACTTCATACATCTTCATACAATAGCAAATATATATAGGAGTACAAGATGGGTCATTCCTGGATGGGTTCTATGAGAGAGCCTTGACCTGCCGCCCATATCCGATAGCTGTGACATTCACCGCCAAAGCGTCGATGCACGGCATCGTTCGTTCACTCCACGGTTTTGACAGCCGCCACTTGACAGCCGTGGCACCGCGGCCGCGCCGCGGCCGCACCAGCGGCGGAATGCCCAGGAGCAACTTGGAAGGGAAGCGCTTCCTGAAACTTCGGCTCTTGGCCCCGGGCACTCAGACAGACAGGTGGTCTCGATGGGAAAGAGCTGCCAAATGAATGCAACAGTTGAGTAGCAAGGCACTAATGGTTTGTCTCAAGTCTGAAGGTCTCCAAGGAAGCCACCGTGTTTGGATATATGTTTCGTAGGAACATCACAATGGCAATATCCTGTATGACATGGGGAGGATGTATGTTTTTGAGGAACAAATATAATGACATGAAAACATATGAAAACACCATGAGAACCATTCCGAGGCTCTCCCGGCTTTGGGAGACACAGAACACTTGTTTGTGAGACGCGCCTCACACCACTGGATTGTACTCGCTTCAGGCCTCGCAAATGCTGTGGAACAACCATCTGAGAGGTTGCTGAGAGATTTGCTCAAGAGAAGTCCGGGGATTTGAGATCAGCAATGATGCTAGCAAATAAGCTCCGAAATTCACGACACATCCCATCTGTTCAGCCCTTGTTCCTCGTCGTTCAAAAAAAACACTCACCTTGTCCCCTTGTTGCTGTGATTCAGTGTTCCACTTTGTGCCAGCAAATCAACTAGAAGACGGTGATCCAATTAATTGAAGATCTTTGCGCGCAACCGTTCTTTCCTTTCCAAAATGTGTTGGACCTGTTCCATGTCCATCCATGTCTCAGGTCCAGACGGAGTTCGAGCCAACGAAGGTCCGAGCGCGGATCGAAGCCTGTTGGCAAAAGCAGCTTCGATGGATCTTGGAGGAGTTGTGGAGGGCCTCGTGGGTTTCGTGGTCTTTCTTCACCCACATGACATTTCTCAGATCTTTCTGAAGGTAGCGGATTTCGGTCGTTTTTGGTGGAGGGCGGTGAGGGATTTCTGGTCTTTCTTTGAAGTCTTTTGGGCTTTTCGGCGGACCAGACTCACCAGACGACAGTCTTGGGCTGGGAGGGTGTACCGCAAGACGTCTGGCTCCACGAAGCACGAAGCTGGCTCGGGGGAGAGGCGATCCTTTTGTGACTGGTGCATGGGTGGGTGGGCCATGTGAATCATCGCATCATGCATGGGTGTTGAGAATTGAATTGAATCAGGTATACGGCAGCTATATACTATTACTATATTACATATACAATTTATATCAATTTATTGCAATCTATTTTAATCTATTAATTGACACCAATATTGTTGTTACCACTTGGGTGCCTTTTACCAAGAGGTTGAAACAACCAGTAATGTTGACTCTTGATTTATAAACTCCCCCCCCC